GTTCCCAGGAGACAGGACCTGAGATTCTCCTGTTTGTTTATTCAAGAAGTATTTACCCCAAATTGGCAAGAATATGGAACAACTGGAACTCTTCATACACTGCTGGCGGGGGTGTTAAATGGGACAAGTCATTTTGGAAAAACAGTTTGGTGGTTGCTTGTAAAATGAAAACATAGACTTACCATGTGACTCAGCAGTTCCACTCCTAAGTGTTTATCCAGTAAAAACATGTCCTCCCAGAAGACTTGTACGGAATGCCCAAAGATGTCCGTAGCAACTTTATCCATATTAGCCCCAAACTGGAATCAATTCCGCTGTCCATCCACACAACTTGTGGTCCATCAGTAGGAAAGACTGGTGTGAGGCACAGAAGAGAACTAATCATTAATGTGATTGACAGCATGGATGAACCTCAAAAACAAGCTGCATGAAAGAAACCTGACACAGAAATGAAAATACCGTTTGGCTCCTTGGTATGAGACTCCACTCTGGATAACAGAAAACACACAACCAGTTGGTGCCAGGGCTGGGTCAGGGGTGGGCCAGGCATTGAAGGAAGAGTGATGGAAATTGTCTGCATCTTGATCAGAGTCAGCTACACATGTCAAACAGTTAAGAAGGGTGCTTTTATAGTTTGTAAATTATCCTTCATTAAGAGTGAATAAGTCTTGGGGGCCTACCCAGTGGTGCAGCGGTTGAGCGCTGGGTTGAGAAACTGCCCGTAGCCTCTGCAGCGCTGGTTCGATCCCTGGTTGCTCCCCGGCCACAGGAGGAGGGTCCCACATGGTGCGCAGACCTCTCCTGTCGCCCGCTGCTCCCCTCAGCAGTGTACCTTGGTCCTTCTGCCTGTTCTGCTCCCAGCTCTGGTACTGGTGAATTCTCTCACCTTCCCGCGCTTCTGACTGTTCCCAGTGCTTGTATAAATAAATTAAGAAAGAGAAAAAAGAAATTAAGCAGCTGAAAATATTTAAAAAAAAAAAAAAGAGTGAATAAGTCTTGTCAAAAAGACAATTTATTATGCTGGGTTGTCATTAGACCAATGAGGCAGATAAAGTTATCAGCACCCCTGAAAATCTGGCTGATAATGATGTTATCAAAGCATTATGTACAACTCAGGAGTAGAGGGAGAAATAGAGAACTTTTTTCTTGTTTACAGAAATAACTTACTTGTGCGCACACAAGGGGTTGGGGGGCTGACTAACAACAACCAGGAAGGACAGATTAGCAAACAATTAGTAGGTGGACTCAGTAACAAGAACCAGCAGGGCAGATTAGCAAACAAGGAGTGGGTGGGCTCAAAAAAAAAAAGAAAAGAAAAGAAAAAAAGGGGGGAAGAAGCATAGGCCTACTTGGCCCATTATTAATGTAAGAAGTAAGAATGCTATTCCTCATGGCCAAAAGCTTCCAAGATGGTGTCCAGGCTCTTTGTGGAGTTTGGCCTTCATCGCCTATGGGCTTTGTGCTGGGAAACTGGTCACGACTGTAGATGTGATTGATCAGAACAGGGCTCTGGCTGATGGAGCTTGCCGGCAGGAAGGGAGACAGGCCATGCCTTTCAAATGCAGGTCGTTCTCTGACTCATCCTCATGGTGTTTGCAAGAAGTATGTCCACCAAGCCTGGCAGAAGGCAGATATGGATTCAAAATGGGCCGAGAACACTGGAAAGTCAGATTTTAATTGTTATAAAGTCGTGAAGGCGAAGGAAATGAACCGAGTAATCAAGCCGGACATCAGGAAGCTTCCCAAGGCAGCACTTACGAAGCTTCTCCCAAATAAGCTCCCGGTTCTAAGGGTGCAGCTGCAGCAAAGAGATGCTGCAAAGATTCTGGCTGAAAAACTACTGGGGGCAAGGAGGCTCTAGTCCAGAAGGTTCTTGCTCAGATGACGCCTCCAGAAGCTCAGAAGCGCCTCCAGAAGCTCAGAAGCGCCCCCATGGCGCCAGCCCAGAAAGTATCTGCTCCAAAGGCATCTGGCAAAGAAGCATAAAAACACACAAGACTGTGATAAAAGTAACAAAGATTCTTTCAGTGGGGAAAAGTAAACATCTTTGTAAACTTCGCCTTTCAGAGGCCACGGCAGAATGGGTTACTACTCGTTTATTTCTCAACCTATTCTAACATCGATTATTACATGAATAGATCAATAATATTACTAATGTATTTTAACACAATATTGACAAATATAGGATGCGATTCATATACTTGGTTTTGTGACTTTTTTTTTTCATAAAACATTTTATTTTGTGTATCTTTCCACACTTGATTATTTTTACTTGTATTGTCTATTGATATATGATTTATCAACTGGTCTCCTTTGTTTTTTTTTTTTTTTTTTTTTTTTGTGGGACCCTTGCTGGTGGCCTGGGATCGAACTGGCGCTGCAGAGGCTGCGGGCAGCCTCGCAACCCAGCGCTCAACCGCTGCGCCACCAAGGGAGGCCCAGGTCTCCTTTTGAGGGACTATTTTTGGGACAATTTTCCATTCCCCAAAAAGTAATAGACATCCTTGCACTTACATGTCATGGGTATATTTCCATATATAAATATATATGGGAGAGACCCAGCAGGACTGAGAAATTTGGTCACGTGGCTTTAGACGGCATCTTAAATAGCTTAGCTAAGCCAGGGGAGAGTGTGGGAAAAGAGGGCAGTTTATAGTGTTAATTGGGAAACTGAAGGAATACAGATTTAAGTTCTGTCTTCTCCAGGGAAAAGAGATAAGGGGATGAGGTCTTCCTGAGATAGATGCTTCCAGAGAGAAATTTACATAGAAACATCAAAAGCAGCATCTGCCCTAGCCTTCAGAGCTCCTCCCTGAAAAGACATATTTTGGGGCGGCAGATTTTTGTTCCCCCAACATCAGGGATTCAGATTCTTATGGGTGCCTTATGTGGGGGAGTAACATCTGAAAAGGTGTGAACTCATACATCTGAGTCATAAGCCAATGTTACCTCATAATAATATACCAAAAATAGAGGGGATTCAGATTCTTATTTTTTTTTTTTAATTAGAGGAGATTGTTAATTACAAGACACAAAACCAACTGACTGATGTAGTGAAAACTGATTTTTGTTGAAGGAATTCTGCTTGGTTCACAAGATTGCTGGTGAGTTTTGTCACAAGGTGAATTTAGTGACTCAGCTTGAGACGGGAATTTTGGTATAACACCGCTTCTATGGGAAAATGTTTCCAAGTTCAGAAACCTGTTTATAAAGAACTGAAATTCACTGTGGGCAGAAACTACCCATACCTTATTCACTGTTATAACCCAAAGTGGACACTCACTGAGGGTTGGGTGGTCTTTTTTTTTTTTTTTTAAGATTTATTTTATTTATTTATGCATACAAGAACTGGGGTGTAGGCCAGAGGTGTGGCGGGGCCGTGAGACGATTCACCAGTGACAGAGTGGAGAGTGGAACAGGCAGATGTACTGAATGAAACACATTGCTGAGGGGAGCAGCAGGTACACAAGGGAGGTCTGCTGCGCCATGTGGGTCAGCTCCCTGGTGGGGATCTAACTCATGCCTCAGTGGTTAGTGATAGCTTGATAGCGCTGAGACTTAACCCCTGTGCTGCCAGGGAGGCCCTCTTTTTATTTTTTTTCAATTGAGGTAATATTTGGATACCCTCATCAGGTGTCACCACTGTAGCATCACCATCACCACTGGGCTTCTTTCTTCCAATTTTTTTTTTAACTTACAAAATTAAGTATATAGAAAAATGGAGATCAACAAGTTTTTCCATTTTAAATTACATTTACTCTTCCTTTTCTAATTACAAGAGAACTGCAATGTAGAAATTTAATAGAAAACGTAAAAAACACAGAAAAGTGTATGAGGAAAAAACCATTAATGCTGCATTCAGTCACACCTGTCAGTCTTTCTTCTAGACAATGTCAGCATTTCCATTTTCTTTTTTCCTGAATCTTTTTGATAACTACATTTGGGGATAAACTCCTTTATCGAGGTAGAACAAATTTGATCTGTAGATTTTCCTCTTCTTTCTTAGGATATGTACTTAATAAATTAATATGGTTAATTGAGATCAATACACTTTTCTCCAGGTTGTTCGTTAATCCTAATGGCAGTGCTTTGGGGTAAACTTTTATTGCAATATTGACATAAAACATAAAGTGCATAAATCTTAAGTGTACAGTTTAGTGATTGTCAATGAATACCTTTGTGTTTATCTCTGCAGGCTGAGAGATAGGGAAGATTTCCAGGACTTGGTACTGTTCCTCACCTTCCCCTGCAGTCTGTAACCTTACTCCACTATTCTGACTTCTCTCAGATTAGTTCTGCGTGGACTTGAACTTTGTTTAGGATCCTAACATACTGCATATTTAAGAATTGTATCTTGTTATAAATATTGCTTAGTACTATTCTAAGTATATCATGAACACGTTGCAATTATAATCTGCAACAAAATCATTTTAAATTACTGTTGTAATTATTCATTTTTTTTTTTTTTTTAAATTCATGAGGGAAGAGGCAGCAAACGGTGACACTAGGACTCAAAGCTCTTGCACTGCAAAAAGGAAAGGTCCAAACCCGGGCGGGCTCCGCAGACGTCCCGCGCGAGGGCCTTGTGCTAGGCACAGGGACGACTGCTGAGTATAAATGGGTCGTGACACGAGAACGCCATGAATTGTCTTAACAAAATCGGTGCATTAGTAACGCGGGCGCGGGATTATTCATGCAACTATTATTAGCCTGCGCGAGACGCATCTGCGGGGCCCGGCCGGGGCTCTCAGCCCGGGTCTCCGCCCCGGGCTCCCGACGCGCGCCGGGAGGGGGGGGGGGGGGAGAAGGGGGAGAGAGGAGGGGGGCTGGACACGCCCCCGGGGCGCCGCGGAGCCAATCGGCACGCAGGAGGCGGGACTTCGGGAGAGACAAGGGCGCTACCCAATAGGCCGCCAGGCGGGCAGGCGCGGGGCCAATGGGCGCGCGCCCTGGTGACGGTCGGAAGTGGAGAGCAGCGCAGGGGCGGCTGCGGCGCGGGGGCTGCGGGCGCGGCGGGGCCGAGGCTGCCTGGCGGCCCGACGCCTTCCCGGCAGGTGAGGTGGGCCCCGGGAGCCCGCGGCCCGCGCCTCGGGGCGGCTGGCTCTGCCGGGGGTGTGGGCGGGTCGGGCCCGGGGGTCGCGGCGAACCCTCCCCGGCGGGGGCGGCCGCGCTCTGCGCCCCGGAGCCGGGGCCCGGCGGGCGGCGCCGCCCCTTCCCGGCTGGGCCCGGCCGCTGCGAAGCGGGCGTTGTCTGGGCGGCCGGTGCCGCCTGGGGCTTGGCCGGGTCGGAACCGCGAGCAGCGGGCCTCGGGGGAGGGCATCGCGGGCGCTGGGCCTCCGGCCCGGGTTCGAGCCCTGCCCGACCCGCGGCGGCGGGTCCCCCCCCACGCCCGCCGTTGGGGTCTCGCGGCCTCTGGGCCGGTGGCGGCCTGGGCGCCCGGCGCGGGCGGCACGAGCGGGTGGCCTCGGAAGCGCCGGCGGCCGGGAGACGCTCGGAGTCCTCGGAGCGGCCGTCCGGGGTGTCGTCCGCGGCCCCGGGAGGACCCGAGCGGCGCGGTCGCCGCCTCCTGCAGCCCGAAGGCTGGACCTTTCCGCCCCAGGCCCGACCTGGGCTTAGGGGCTGGAATAGAGGGCGCCTGGAGTCCCGTGCGTGTCTGGAGGGAAGTATGTCAGCTTCCCTTTTCAGGGGACATGATTTGTTCTCATAGGCGGGGGCTGCCCCTCCCTAGCGAACATTCTGTACCCCACTGTGGCTGCCTTGACTCTTGCCACTCTGGTTTAAACCCTCCTGCCGTTTACCACAGAGCTTGGAATATAATCCAGTGCCCCTACGCCCCTATATGATGAGTATTCTTGAATCATTTCCCCTTTGCATTTGACTGGCCTAGATCTACCTTACTTTCTCCTCCATTGCCTGAGGCCAACTGTCTGAAGGGGCTTCCCTGCCCCTCCATCCCTCTGTCTTACTTCTTCTTTGGCTGTCCCTTTTCACTTCAGGTTTTAGTTTAAATGTCACCCCCTCAGAAAGTTCTTCCCTGACCACCCTTACTTATCTAGATTCCTTCTATTCATCTACATACTTTTACATCAAAATACTTTTATATATATGTAGTCCTTTTTTTTTTTTTAAGATTTATTTATGCATACAAGAGCTGGGGTACAGGCCAGAGATGAGAGGGGTGAGAGGATTCACCAGAGACAAAGCAGGGAACAGAACAAGCAGACTGACTGAAATACACTGCTGAGGGGAGCAGTGGGCAAGACAGGAGAGGCCTGCTGCACCTTGTGGGTTGCTCCCTGGCCAGCCACGGATTGAACTCATGCTGCAGAGGCTGTGGATTGCTTCATAGTGCGGTGCTTAACCCCCTATGCCACCAGGGAGGCTCATGTAGTCCTTATTTTTGCTCCATCATTAAATTGATCTGTTAGATCAGACACAACAGTTCTTGAATTTGTAAAGTACTGGTCTTGTCAGGGTACAGTCTCGGACACACAGAAGGGTCTTACTTAACATGTTAAATGAAAGAATACGTGTTTTGAAGTTTGGAAGTTCCAAAACTATTAAAGAGCTCTATTAGGGGACGGTATCTTAGACCATATTTGCATTATGGAGAGGAGTAATCTAAGTAAGTTGATAATAAAGTTGCTAGTACTTTGCTGTCTGCATTGACATCTTACTTAAAAGGAAGGACAAATTTTATAGTGGAGAAACTTGGCACACACTGTCTCAACTAACTAAATCATCACCTGTAATAAGAAGACTCTTGGTATCATGTGCTTTCTGATATAATGCACCAAGATGAGCACATCACTTTTGTGGTATTCTTGCCACAATGTTTTAATCATAACAAAACTTCATATAAACCCAAATTGAAAGACATTCTACAAAGTAACCAGTACACTAAACTAAGTTATGAAAAATTAAAGCCTGAAGAACTATTCCAGATCAAAGATGATTATGGAGAAATAACCAAATGCTCATGAGGATGTAAATTGGATCCTGACCCAGAAAAAGGGCATCCATGGGATGATTTATGAAATCTGAGTAAGATCTTTAAGGTTAGTTACCAGTATTGTGCTGTATTAGTGTTTCCTGCGCTTGATAATTTCACTGTGGTTATTTACAATGTGTTGGGAGAAGAGTGTATGGAAGTTATTTGTGCTGTTTTTGCAAATCACATTATTTAAAATTGAAAAACAATAAGGAAAAACTCAAGTGTGTTGTGTTTTTAGTTTTTTGTTTCTGTTTCTTGCATGTCATCCTTCAGGCAGAAATGAAATTGAAAGTTAACACTTCTTCTTTTGTAGTTTCAGGAAGCACTAAAGATGGCTGAATTCCTAGATGACCAGAATACTAGACTGTGTGACAACTGGTAAGAAATTAAATCTAAGAAATGTAATTGGAATGAGGATAAACTAACTTCTGTAAAGAGTTGCTTAAATTTTGGCAGGTTAAAATTGTAGCCATTTAATGTTTTGTGAAAATGTGTGGGGTTAAAGCCTTTTCAACAATCTTGGATAAACTGAGTAACCTGACACAGGATGCTTGGTGTGGGTGGCATAGAGTAGTGACTAGAGTGATGGACTGAAGCTGGGAGTCAGGGATCAAATTTCTGCCTCTCATTAATGACTTTTAGTAACTCTTGACTGCTCTGGAGTTTCATTTTTCTGACCTATAAATAAGATAATTTATTTTTTGTCTTTCTGAAAAATGTCATACATTTTTAAAAAGAGACTAAAAATATCTTTAAAGTGTTTGAACTAGTTCACTCTTTCAAGGATTCCCTGAGCAGCCACAGAAGTTGTCCTGGGGTTAATTGGAAGCAAGGTTTAGTGAAGTGAGAGAAGTTCAACCAGAGTAGTTCATTCTTTTCTGGCTTTATAAAGGGTTTTGCTGAAGGAATGTTCTGCTGCTTTAAGGAAAAAAAAAAAAATCTAAAGTCTTCCAGCAGTCAGATTAATCATTATCATTTCATGATTCCAGAACTGTTAGTGAGGAGTGAGAACAGTCTTGAATGTTAAACTAGTTTGTGTGTTTTTAACCTACGTGAATGACAACAAAGAGCGACTCTTTTGTGGAAATGAAACTTAGAGGTATAGTTAATAATCAGCTGACTCCTGGTTGGGATTTGAGAACTTGGTATTTTAGTGACATGCAAGTGCTCTTACTGGAAGCTGAAGAGAAATGCAAAACAGAAGCAGCTGTGCTATATATTTGATTTACCAAGCTGTGATAGAAATAAAGAGATGGGATAAGGAAAATAGTTTGATGCAGACTGGTGAAAGATTTGAATCAGGTAACAAATTCACACCCTTTACTTTCTGCTCATTTTACAGAGATAGGATAACCAGATCAGCTGCTGGTCACAATACTCTTTCCCTGCATGGAATTTCATTTCTGGAGGGTGTCTTGCTTTAAGGAGTATTTCTCCCTACTTTGTCACTGTCATTTTCTGCTGATAAAAATTATTTTATCTTGGGGTTTATATGTACTGTTAGTGATATAAAGTACTCAATGATAACAAATAATCACAAGAAAACATCAGTATGATTTTATAGCAAAACAGACCTATTTGCATTAGCAGCAGTTAAGATAGTCATATCAGTCCACCCTAGTTTAAAGGACTCTCAAGTGTAGCACATTATATAAATAACTATACTAAGGGAGTTAAAAAAAAGGGTAAGTTAAGGAAAACTAATGAAAAACAAGGTTATTCACAGTCAAAATCAATTAATTTAATGGAAAAAAAAAAAAAAACAGCCCAACAAATTAGCATGGAAAGCTGACCAAACTAGAGTGGACTTCCAGTGTAAGTGAGCCTGTGTGTTTAAATTCCAGGTTTTAAAATTTTGTATTCTGTTCCCTAAGAGAAGTTAAGGTACTGTTCAAAATATGGGCTATCTTAGACCCACTGGGCCTATAAAAGAATAGTTTGTTGATTAAGATGTTTTTGTGGGGCTTCCTGGTGGTGCAAGGGGTTAAGTCTCAGCACTGTGAAGCTATCTGTAGCCACTGCAGCACAAATTGGATTCCCGGCCAGGGAGCTAACCCACATACAGCATAGCAGACCTCTCCTGTATCACTCCATGCTCCCCTCAGTAGATCTGCCTGTTCTGCTCCCTACTCTGTCTCTGGTGAATACTCTAACCCGCCCCCCTCCCCTTCATCTCTGGCCTATGCCCCAGCTCCCCGGCTCTTGTGTGCATAAATAAAATAAATCCTAAAAAAAATTGAAGGTGTTTTTGCACTTTTTTTTTTTTTTAAGATTTATTTATACAAGCACTGGGTACAGTCAGAAGCGCGGGAGGGTGAGAGGATTCACCAGAGCCAGAGCAGGGAACAGAACAGGCGGACTGACGAAAAACACTGCTGAGGGGAGCAGTGCACATGGCAGGAGAGGTCTCTGCGCCATGTGGGACCCTCGCCGGTGGCCCGGGATCGAACCAGCGCTGCAGAGGCTGTGGGCAGCTTCGCAGCCCAGCGCTCAACCGCTGTGCCACCAGGTGAGGCCCGTTTTTGCACTTTTTTTAAATGTGCAAAATCTTTTGTTTGAGGGGAAAGTGCAGGTCCAGGGAACAGAAGCTTCTGGTAAAAGACAACTTTTTATTTTTACATATATTAAAGAATTGCATTATGATTCTGGTTTTTAATGTTTGAATACTGGGGATTTTTCTGGAAGCCTTTAAGTAATTGACTTGCCTTTCAGTCATTTCTATCTAAAGTGAAATTTCATATTTAACTTGCTAGTCCTTCCTTGGGGCTTTTAGTAGTTTTATTTACACATTGAATGGCGGGGAGGAATTTCTTTATCTCATTTGAAATATCTCCATTTTATCTCTAGGTGGGAAGCAAGTATATTGGTATTTTGTCTGATTGGAATGTTTGGCTGGAGTATTTTGGCAGTTAAGTTTAAGAAAAAAACAGCAGGCAATTGTTCCATGTAATTTTTGCAAATACCTTTTTCTTTTTCTTTTTTTTTTTTTGAAATATTTAAGTATAATTTCCTCAGCATTTTTATTTTCTGGTATATATCTTTTTCTTTTAAGGTTTCCTAAGATGTGAAAATGTGGAATAATAAATGCTCTTGTCATAACCTGACAGCTACTTTTTGTTTTTTTAAAGATTTATTTATTTATGTATATAAGAGCTGGGGTACAGGCCAGAGGTGTGGAGGGTGAGAGGATTCACCAGAGACAGAGTGGGGAACAGAACAGGCAGATTGACTGAAATACACTGCTGAGGGGAGCAGCGGGTGAGACAGGAGGGGTCTGTCTCGCCATGTGGGATTCTCCCTGGCTGGCCCGGAATCGTACAGGTGCTACGGAGGCTGCGGAGAGCTTCATAGATTGCGTCTTAACCCCTCGCGCTACCAGGGAGGCCCGACAGCGACTTTTGATTCTTGTTTATGTTAGGATTATGTGGTCTTTAATATTTTTTGCTTTAATTCTAACAATTTAGTAACCTTATTCTGAGTAGCCTTGTAAAATAAAAAGTAGACATTTACTTGTTGATTTTTGCTGTTAAAAGAAAATTATTCTCAAAAAGAACCTAGTATCCTAAGCAGTAGTTTTTAATGTCATTTCTGCATGTATGACTTACAATCATGATACTAACACTACTTTTTTTCATTGTTGGTGTACTGTAATGAAAATATTCATGTATAATCCCAAGAGTGGGATCATTGGGTTACAGACCACATAATTTTTTGGTCCCACAAGCACATTTTCAGAGTATTTTTAAGCAGTTTACACTACCACTAGAAATCACATCTTTAATAGTGGGATTTGCTAAATTCATTTTTGTTAACTGCATAGGTTTAGAAGATAACTTTTTGGTTTAAAACTACTGTATATTTAAATATTACATGGTTTAAAAAATTTTAACTGAGTTTATTTAAAACCAATGATTTCCTTTAAAAACTAGGAATTTGGGGGCCTCCCCTGGTGGCGCAGCGGTTGAGCGCTGGGCTGCGAAGCTGCCCGCAGCCTCTGCAGCGCCGGTTCAATCCCTGGCCGCCGGCAAGGGTCCCACATGGCACGACAGACCTCTCCTGCAGCACCCACTGCTCCTCTCAGCAGTGTATTTTCATTGGTCTGCCTATTCTGTTCCCCGTTCTGGCTCTGGTGAATTCTCTCACCCTCCCACACTTCTGACTGTATCCAGTACTTGTATAAATAAATAAATCTTTAAAAAAATAAAAACAAGAGGGAGGAATCTGGGACGTTAAATTGGTCAAGTTGTTAGGATACGAGCAAGAGGCACTCAGGAGCCCCAAACTGTTAAGAGACACCTGCTCTAAACGGACTCCTGCTATCTGCGTGCATAAGGCAGTGGGAGCAGGCTCCTAGTGGGAAAGGTTTTTAGTGGAATTGGTGTGTATTGAGAGAGAGAGACTAGAAAGGATTTCAGATAACAGTTTCTCCCCCGCAAAATCCCCAATCCCCTTGTGGACAGATACCCAGCCAAATAAACTTGGCCTGAAGTGGGGCCGCTGAGTAAAGAAAGCTTGTCACCAGCCTAGGGTCCTTCCTGGCAAGGGACCACAAGAAAGGGATTAGGCAGGTCCCAGAGAGCTGGAGAGGAGACACTCAAAAAATTCAAAATCTAACACATGCTCTAACATGAAGTCATGATAACAGCTGCCATTGTCTCTGCCAAGGACCAGGAACACCCTCCCCTCTTGTCTCTTTTCCAAGTCTCTCCTTCAAGTGTCTCTTCATGTCACTCCCTGTGTCTCTTCCTGTCTCCTCCCACACCTCCAGCTTCCATTTGTATGTCCACCTTGCTCCTTCCTAGCTGCCCCCCACTCATGAGTTCCAGCTCACAGCATGCTGGGCCTGTAATCCAAGTTGGCTGCATGTAAGTGGGCCCTGTTAAGTGCTCTTCCTCCTTAGTGGAGATGCATTCTCTTACAGTTGCTGGTAGTTTCCCTCTTTTATCCAGCTGAGTTTCCTTCTCATCCTCACAGCTGACTGTTGCTCTATCACCTTCCAGTTGTACTAGGAGAGCTGCCTTGATTGTTCCAGTACTGAATGAAAAACATTTGCATTTATTTGGTGTCTTTTAGATTGGGACTAGGAGTATAGCTGGAGGCGGCACATCTTTCATCCTTCTTTGAAAGGGTTTTAGATTATGTATAAAGGTTAAAACTATTAAAAAAAAAAGCATAAGCTCTACAGTTTAGCGTAGGAGAGGATATCTGTAGTACTCAACGTCAGAAGTAAAATAGGATATTAAATATTTGCTATATGACTATTAATCCTGCTCAGTATTTTATTTTTCTGAATTTTTTTTAAAGAGTTATTTATGCATACAGGAACTGGGGTGTAGGCCAGAGGTGTAGGGGTGAGAGGATTCACCAGAGAGAGAGTGGGGAGCAGAACAGGTGGATCCACACTGCTGAGGGGAGCAGCGGGCGAGACAGGAGAGGCCTGCTGTGCCATGTGGGTTGCTCCCTGGCTGTCCAGGGATCGAACGTGTGCTGTAGAGGCTGTAGTACTGTGCTTAACCCCTTGCCCAACCAGGGAGGCCCTAAACTGATTGGATTCTTTAAACTAAAGGAGAATGGCAAAAACATGAGTGAGGAGGCAGAACTGGGGGAAAGGACTTCATTTTTGTATAATTCTGTGATAAAGTTTATACCAACCCTGCCAGAGAGCATGTTCCTGACTAGCATCCATCCTACTTTGAAAGATGTATGGGATACAGAAGAGGCGATTTTCTTTCCCTCCTATCTATTCCAAAGCTGTCATCTGCTCTTTTCAGTTTGACTTTTGTGAATAAAATGTAGTGAAATGGAACCATTTCAGACTGACAGTGAAAATAAATGGTAGGCTGTGTTGGTCTTGTTTTTAATTCTAGAGCGTATCATTGTGCTTTGGGGCATGGATGGTTTTAGAAAAGCTCTTCTTGGCATCCTGCTTCATGTTGGTTGTGATCAGCTCTAACTTTCAGAAAGTGAGGCTGAGCTTTAAGAGGTAGTGCATAGCACTACACTGGGTTGTACAGAAGACTCAAAACTTTCAAGAGTCAATTCTTGAAATGCAGGGGTGATAATAGTCATAATAGTGTATAGACTAGATATTCACTAAAGAGAAATAATGGAAACTGAAGATTGGACAGAAAGGACAGATTTTCATGGGATACCACTGTGCGAGAAATGGCATAGATGTGCCAGTAATGCTTGATCTTTTTCTTTGATTTATTTTTGTAGCAAAAAAGAAATTCCTGTGTTTAACTTTACTATCCATGAGATCCACTGTCAAAGGAACATTGGTATGTGTCCTGTCTGCAAGGAACCATTTCCCAAGTCTGATATGGAGGTTCACATGGCTACAGAACATTGTCAGGTGAGCCACCAGCCACTCAAGTGTCCGTAAGTGTGTTGTCCTTGCTATTATGCAAAAACAATGTTTTCATAAAGCTAATTTACTGATTCTAACTTCTTAACCTAGGTGACCTGCAAATGTAATATGAAGTTGGAGAAGAGGCAGTTACAGAACCATGAGGTTAGTCTCCCTGCACTATGAAGTGAATGAATCACCCTGGGACCAATCCTAAGGTTACAAAGCCACATGAGGGGCAGAAAACTAGTCTGGTTGAGTCAGGATTTGCCACCTTTGCAAGCCCATTGGAGGTTTTGACTGTTCAAAACTATTCCGAACTGGTGGTGTGGTATAATTCTTTAGCACATAGTCTGCCTCACATCTTATAATTTTATTTTGACATCTTGATCATTTGGATAACTTGCTGTTTACATTGGAAGAAATGCCACAGAAAGCACATAGTGTTATTTGGTTCTTGAGATAAAACTGACAATATTTGAATGAGCATATTAATATTAATGCACCAGTTAAGATTTGTGCATTTCTTCCATTTATTTAAAAGAACTAATAGCTTATTAGTTTGTAACTAAATTACCTTTAATTATGAAAAGTAATTCATATTCAATGTAGAAAATATAAATAAACAAGAACCACACTTAACCTCCTACCTGAGAGATAACCGCCTCATAAACATTGGTACTCTTTAACTTTCATTATTTTTCTAAGCATTAGACCTGTAAATTTCACTAGTCCTCACTTGGGAGGGGGCTTATGATTGAAGTCACATTAGCAATAATAAGTGTTTTTCTGGGTCTTTACCATCTACCTGCTCCATAAAACAACTTCTAATCATCTGCCATCTTTCCTGGCTTCCCTCCCAACTGTTTCTGGGAGTCACAAGGTGAAACACCAATCATTGTAAAGGTATAAGTACAAAGTGTCCACTAACATTCCTGTAAGCGGGACAGTTGTAGACAAGAGATTAAAGAGTTCTTAAAAATTTTCCTTTAAAATAAAGTTTATGGGCCTCCCTGGTGGTGCAAGGGTTAAAGACAGTGCTATCAAGCTATCTCCAGCCACTGCAGCACATAAAGAAAAGAAAGTGAAACAACAAAAAAGTAAGACAAAGCACCTCTCATCATCCCATGCCTCTGCCACTCTTTCTGGTATGTAATTTTAAAGCCAGAAAAGGATATATTATAAAAATTACAGTTCTTCCACCTCTGTTCCTAGGTCCTCTTTATCAGTTTCTTGTTTTCTTTTTTTTTTTTTTTTTGTGGAACCCTCGCCGGCGGCCGGGGAATGAACCGGTGCTGCGGAGGCTGCGGGCAGCCTTGCAGCCCGGTGCTCAACCGCTGCGCCACCAGGGGAGGCCCCAGTTTCTAGTTTTCTATAAGAGATTTCACACACACACATAGACAAGCAGTGCTAAAAATGTTTGAAGTGGCATTTAGAATAATAAGAATGTTTTTAATTTGCGTAACAAGAAATTGTAGCTCTTTGGCACAGTGGTTGTAAAATATCAAAGGAGCTTAGGTTCCCAAGTTTTAGAATATGTGTATTATATTCCTTTATATCTTTTTGATTTTTTTGTGTTTTTCTAAATTTCCAATTAAGAATAAAAGTTTTGTCCTTCATCTGCTGAGGATATTTACACTTGATGTTACCTTCTTGGTGATTCCTAGTTTATTTGGGCAATTTAAAGTCTGTGCTATATATAGACATGCCGATTAAAAAAATTAGTGTCTTTCTAAAAGACAGTCTCTCTGGTACTTGAGATGAATTGGAGGAGTAAGGGAAAATTGGGCTGTGTGAGCTTTGACAGACATGCCTCAATTGCTGTATTTTTGCTAGCTCCTGGGTTTTTCTGGCTGATTTGGGGTTACTTTGTAATGTGTGCACAAAATGATGGTGGTTGGAGTGGTTGAGTAAGTAGATCCTTTCTGAGATTCCTTCCCTTTCCTTTGTAGAATCTGATGGCAGGCACAAAGAGGATGGCAGGGACAAAGGGTTGGAAGAGAATATTAAAGTAAATAATTTTGCTTCCCTTCCCTTACTCTGTTGCAGGAGACTGAGTGCCCTCTGCGTCCTGCTCTTTGCCAGCACTGCGACTTGGAGCTTTCTGTTCTCAAACTGAAGGACCATGAAGATTACTGTGGGGCCCGGACAGAGTTGTGTGGCAGTTGTGGGCGCAATGTCATGGTGAAAGATTTGAAGACTCACCCTGAAGTTTGTGGGAGAGACCGGCAGGAAAAGAGAGAAGAGGTCGCCACATCTCCTGATGCCTACGATGAGTCTTGGGGTCAAGATGGAATCTGGATTGCATCCCAGCTCCTCAGACAGATTGAGGCTCTAGACCCGCCCATGAGGCTACCCCGAAGGCCTCTGAGAGCCCTTGAATCAGACCTTTCCCACAGTAGGACTACCAATCAAAGGAATATGACAACACAGTTTCCAATTCAGAATAATCTGTGTGAGTTGTGTTTGGGATTTGGAAACTGGAATGGTATCAATTCTCAGGGCAACTGGGAACAGAACTTGGAGGCCAAACAGATATTAATTAGGAAAACCTAACTGTAGGTAGGGAACCTTAGGAAGAATACCTAACTTTCCTATAAACAGGAAAACAACCTCTTTGCTATTGGGTTACTATTGGATTAGGGGGGGGTGTGTGTGTGTGTGTGTGTGTGTGTGTGTGTGTGTGTGTGTGTGTGTGTGTGTGTGTGTAGAACTGGGGTGTAGGCCAGAGATGGGAGGGGGATGAGATGATTCACCAGAGACAGAGTGGGGAGCAGAACAGGCAGATCTACTGAAATACACTGCTGAGAGGAGCAGCAGGGAGGCAGAAGTCTGCTGTACCATATGTGGTACAGCACCCTGGCTGGGGATTGAACTGGAGCCGTAGTGATGATGGTGCTGAGACTTATCCCCTTGGCCACCAGGGAGCCCTTATTGTGAGACTGATGCTGATGACTACTGTGATGACAGTGCTGTTAATAGGTAACATTAACTGAGTGTGCCCTACGAGTTTCAGGCATTTGCTGAGTACTTCACATAAATGAATACATTTAGTTCTCAAGATGGTTGATAAGTGGTAGAGCTGGGATTTGAATTCAGGCATTTCACCCCATGGTTAAGCCATTTGCTATATGTAGGAAATAATATGTAAAAGATTTAGCATAGTACCTGTCTCATAGTTACAACATGTTTAATTATTGTTAATAAAACAATAATAAAACATTTTATAATCATGGTGGACTTAATAGTTGGAGTAGTCTGGGAACTGGAGGGGTAGGCCTTTTTGTTCCTGTCCAGTTGCCAGTCTTGACTATTTCCTGGGCCTGGAGTTGAGCTGAGATGGCAGTATTTCTTTTGTTTTTTAAAGATTTATTTATACAAGCACTGGGGTACAGTCAGAGGCGCAGGAGGGTGAGAGAATTCACCAGAGACAGAGCGGGGAGCAGAACAGGCAGACGGACCGAAGACACTGCTGAGGGGAGCAGCGGGCAGGGCAGGAGAGGTCTGCTGTGCCATGTGGGACTCTCCCTGGCCGGCTGGGAATCGAACCAGCGCCGCGGAGGCTACAGACAGCTTCACAGCGCTGTGCTCAACCTGCTGTGCCACCGGGGAGGCCTGAACAGTATTTCTAATGTATCTGAGGACTGGTGGTTTCTTTTCCAGTGGAAGAACAAGAAAGGCAGGAAAGGAATCGCAGCCGACAGCCCCCTAAAGTGGGTGGTGAAGACAGTGCAAACTTGGACTTCATGTTGGCCTTAAGTCTGCAAAATGAAGGCCAGGCCCCCAGTGTGGCAGAGCAGGACTTCTGGAGGGCCGTATGTGAGGCGGACCAGTCTCGTGATCACCTCCATGCCCTGACCAACACAAAGGGTAGGTTTTTCTGTTCCATGCTAGCTTCTGTCTCTACTTTTCTAAAAGTCTTCCACCATATAATTAATATAAAATTGATTGAAAGCCTTTCATGAGATAGCATTTGCCTTTTTGGTTTTTTTAGTTTGACTTTCCAAATATTTTATTTTTAAAAATTTTCAGAATAGTGCAGTATCTATATATTGTCTCTCTACTTCAGCATGTATGTATCTCTTAAGAACAGGGGCATTTCTTTTTTTTTTTTTAAATATTTATTTATTTATTTATACAAGCACTGGGTACAGTCAGAGGCATGGGAGGGTGAGAGAACTCACCAGAGCCAGAGCGGAGAGTAGAACAGGCAGAGTGACGAAGTACATTGCTGAGGGGAGCAGCGGGCGGCAGGAGAGGTCTGCGTGCCATGTGGGACCCTCGCCCAGCATCCGGGAATCAAACTGGCGCCGCAGAGACTGCGGGCAGCTTCGCAACCCAGCGCTCAACCGCTGCGCCACTGGGGAGGCCCAAGAACAGGGGCATTTCTTATGTAAACAGTATAATACCACTCTCAGGAAATTTGTAAGTTCCCTATTTGTATATAATGTCTCTTAAAGCTTTTTCATTTTGTTTTTAAAATCCAGGATCATTATGCATTGCCTTTAGATTCCTTTAGTTTATTCCCCACCTTCTCTGTTTTTTTCTTTTTCTTTTAGGATCTTGATAATTTTTTGAAGAGTCCAGGTCAGCTGTTTTGCAGAATACTTCTTTTCCAACTTAGGACTGTCTGATTGTTTCCCCATGTTTTATTTAGATTGTAGTAGTTTTAGTAGGATGCCACATTGGTTGATCTATTCATTTAAGTGAGGTCTGTCATTATCTTCAGTGTAAAGGTAACTCCCCCTTCATGATTACTAGATGCAGTATTATTTTGAAATTATCAACGAACAGGAGGATATTCAGACCATCTTTTATAGCAGTGTTAGCATTCATTAATGTTTCCTGCTTGTATCAGGTATAACTTGGTGATTGTAAAATGGTGATATTTCGGTTTCTGTCCTTTGTTCTACATTTATTGTCATTCTTCTATAAAGAACTTTCCCCCTTCCCAATTTTAAAACAATTCATTTTTTAAGTGTCTATTTAGAGAATAATATGCTCAAGTTAAAAGCGATTTTAGGGACCCCAAGTTTTAGCAGCTCTCAGCTGTGATTTTTCTTCATGCTACTACATGAATAATGACTCAAGAACAGTAGGATTAACTCATAACATTTTGTTGATTTAGATGCAATAGGAATTGGACCTGAAGGAGGTAAGCAGTGGAGTATTAATAGAAACTTTGCATAGTGTTGGCATATTTTCTCTTTTTAAAAAATTCATATTTTCATAATTATAGCTACAGCTTGAAAAATAGTAAACGTGTGTGGAATTTTTTTTTTTTTAAGATTTATTTATACAAGCACTGGGTACAGTGTAGGAGGATGAGAGAATCCACCAGAGCCAGAGTGGGGAACAGAACAGGCAGACTGACGAAATACACTGCTGAGGGGAGCAGTAGGCGTTGCAGGAGAGGTAGATCTGCACGCCATGTGGGACCCTTGCCTAGCGGCCGGGGATCGAAGCGGCACTGCAGAGGCTGCGGGCAGCTTCGCAGCCCAGCGCTCAACTGCGGCGCCACCAGGGGTGGCCCATATGTGTGGAATATTTTTTATACTCTACCTTAGACACTGGTTGGTCAGCATGTGGCTTCACAGATCCCATGAGATGATTCAGTAGCTCCTTAGAGGTCTACTATGTTCTTATAGACTGGAAAACTACTCTTAGGCTGTATTTTCTTCCATAAAAATAATGTTTGCTGTGTTGTAGAAGGTTTTAAAAAATAGTAGCATATATAAGAAAAATAATTGTGTAGCCATTAAATGGTTGCATCATGTAATATGTTAATTATATTCCAATAAAGCTGTAAGAAAAAATTTTTAAAAATAATTCTTAAAAAATTGGGCCTCCCTGGTGGCGCAGGCGGTTGAGCACAGCGCTGTGAAGCTGTTCGCAGCCTCTGCAGCGCCAGTTTGATCCCCGCCGGCCTTGGAGCAACCCACATGGTGAGAAGACCTCTCCTGTCTCGCCTGCTGCTCCCCTCAGCAGTGTATTTCGGTCCATCTGCCTGTTCTGTTCTCCGCTCTGTCTCTGGTGGGTCCTCTCACCCTCCCGCGCATCTGGCTTGTACCCCGGCTCTTGTATAAATAAAATAAATCTAAAAAAAAAAATTCTTAAAAATTGACAATATGAAAGGGTATAAAAGGAAAAGTAAGTCTCCTCACCACTGATAACACTGTTCTAGCTTCTCCCAGAGATCACCACTTTCAGCAAGTCCTGAAGTAGCCTGATATTCTGTGTATATAGATAGTGTGAATGTGTAATACAATGGCCTCATGTAAAAGGGGGGGACTACTAGGGGGACTTCCTGAATTTTGAGGAACAGAACAAGGCTTCTTCATGTTTGACTTTGGATTCTTTTCCATTTCTAAGTTAGGCAACTTTGTGTTGTTGATAATCGGTTTTTCTTTTTTATTACCTTTGATCTATTCTGTTGATTTTTTTTAACCAAATAGTTGCTGTTTTGTTTTTTTTTAAAAAAAGATTTATTTATGCATACAAGAGCTGGGGTACAGGCCAGAGATGCAGGGTGTGGGGGGTGAGAGGATTCACCAGAGACAGAGTGGGGAACAGAACAGGCAGATCTACTGAAATACACTGCTGAGGGGAGCAATGGGCGAGACAGGAGAGGTCTGCTGCGCCATGTGGGTTGCTCCCTGGCTGGCCAGAAATCAAACTTGTGCTGCAGAGGCTTTGAATTACTTCATAGTGTGGTGCTTAAGCTAACCTTGCGCCACCAAGAAGGCCCCTGCTGTTGTTTTAAAATGCTGGTTTTTTTTTTTTTGTGGGACCCTCGCCGGTGGCTGGGGAATGAACTGGCGCTGCAGAGGCTGTGGGCAGCCTCGCAGCCCAGCTGCTCGACCGCTGTGCCACCATGGGAGGCCCTAAAATGATGTTTTTATCAAGCAGTTTGCCCCTGTTCCAAATAAAGCCTTTTCTAAGCTGACTGGTATCTTTTAATGTGAGAGTCTCCTTGTCAGGCTTTCAGATAGACTTTCATTGGGGGATCTAGATTGGTGTGATGAAAGCAACATTACAGTAGCATAGTAGGGACAAGTGAAGACTCTAGATTCAGTGCAGTTTCCTTAATTTTTTCTTTGTCACTTCTTATATTGCTTTACTGACTGACTTGTTTGTTTAACTCCATTTTGCTCTGCTAGTTTGGAACTTAATTTTGTCTTTTTTCTTTTAGTATTTGCCCTGGAAATTTCATCACATTTATTTAACTTAACAAAAGTAAATTTAATCAGTCTTATCACTCTTCTCCCAGTTAATATATTGATTCTTAGAATTCAGATCATGTAATTATCAAATACCACAAATGTGTGTTAGTATTCTGTCTTTTCAATGCCACGGTATAGACCCTTCCTGTTTTATATACCCTTTATATTTATCATTTTATTATTTTTACCATTTCCTTTGCTCATGCATTCCTTCTTGCTTCTCAGAAATTTCTTCTAAGATTAAATTTTCTTCCTGAGTTACCTTCTTAAGGTACGCGATTGAAAGTCTTTGATGGTTGTAAATTCTCTATTTTGGTTTTCTGAAAATATGTTTATTTTGTTTTCACATTTGATTATTTCTCTGGCCAGGCAATTCTAGCTTGCCAGCATTTTGTCATAGTTCTTTGAAATTATTTGTTGTATTTCTTGGCTCCTGTTGTTGGCTGTGGAGCGTCATCTGTGAGTGTTATTATGGCTCTGTAGTGCCCTGTCCTTTCTGTCTGGCTCACTTTAAGATCTTTTTGTCTTGGGGCCTCCCTAGTGGTACAAGGGGTTAAGCGTCAGCACTATGAAGCAGTCTGCAGCTACTGCAGCACTACTTTGATCCCCCACAGCAGACCTCTTCTGTCTCTCCTGCTGCTCCCCTCAGCAGTGTATTTCAGTAGATCTGCCTGTTCTGCCCCCACTCTGTCTCTGGTGGTGGTCACCACCAACCCCCACCGCCTGCGCACCTCTGGCCCACACCCTAGCTCTTATATACATAAATAAATCTTTTTTAAAAAAAGTATCTTTTTGTCTTTGGGATTCTGCAGTTTCCCGATGTTTGCTGGCTTTATGTTTTTGGGGGTTTGCTGCCTTCTGATTCATAAATTCAGTATTTTTCTTCTATGTGGAAAATCCTCAACTACTGTTTTATTATTGCCTGTCTTCTAGTCTTTGTAGCATCTCCTGGAATTCTGTTTCGATGTGTTTAATTTACTCTAGCCTCCTCATCTCATACATTTTTCATTTCTTTGTCCTCTATGCTGCATTCTGAGTATTATAAAAATCTTTCTAGGGGCCTCCCCTGGTGGCGCAGGTGATTGAATGCAGTGTTGTGAAGCTGTCCGCAGCCTCTGCAGCGTGGGTTTGATCCTGGCCAGCTGGCGAGAATCCCACATGGCTTGGCAGACCTCTCCTGTCTCGCCCGCTGCTCCCTTCAGCAGTGTATTTCAGTCCGTCTGCCTGTTCTGTTACCCGCTCTGTCTCTGGTGACTCCTCTTACCCTCCCGCACATCTGGGCTGTACCCTGGGTTTTTTTTTTTTTTCTGTACCCTGGTTTTTGAATGCGTGAATAAAATAAATCTTAAAAAAATGATATGAAAAATCTTTCTAATTTGTCATTTAATGTGAGGTTTTCAGACTCTATTTTTTATTTATTCTGTTTGAATTCTATTTGGTTTTTGTGCCTCATCATTTAAAAAAATTACCTTTAATACCTCAGGTGGTCATATTCCAACTCCTTTTTTAATTATATCTCTAAACATGTTAAATATACTTATAGACTTATTTTTCTTTTTTTTTTTTTTTTTTTTTTTTTTTTTTATAGAGGCATGCTTTATTTATTTGTTTTGCTGGTTTGTTTGTTTGTTTTGTTTATACATGCACTGGGTACAGTCAGAAGCGCGGGAGGGTGAGAGAATTCACCAGAGCCAGAGCGGGGAGCAGAGCAGGCAGAAGGACCGAAGTACACTGCTGAGGGGAGCAGCGGGCGGCAGGAGAGGTCTGCACGCCATGTGGGACCCTCCTCTGGTGGCCGGGGAGCAGCCGAGGATCGAACCGGCGCCGCAGAGGCCGCGGGCAGCTTCGCAACCCAGCGCTCAACCGCTGCGCCACCGGGGAGGCCCTAGACTTATTTTTCTTTTGTGCTTGAAAGTAAAATAGTTTATTTTTTGCTATTTCTGCTCTATAAATGTTTGCTGCCTGTGTGTGTATTTGTGTATAGATACACACGGATATAAGTATTGACATTTTTAAAAATGGAAAATTTGGAAAAGCAAACAAACCAAAAAGGTAAATTCTATCTCATGAAGGCTTTTTTATATGTATTTTATATGTGGAATTATACAAATAGCCACATGAACACATTTAGTTCTGATGTTTCCCTAAGAGTATCTGTATATGCTTCTAGCAGGCACCTAAAGATGTTGCTGACTGCTATCATTTTAAAAGTTTGGCTTTAGGCTTTTAAAAATCATAAATGGGGCCTCCCCGGTGGCGCAGCAGTTGAGCGGTGGGTTGCAAAGCTGCCCGCAGCCTATGCAGCGCCGGTTCGATCCCCGGCTGCTGCTCCGCGGCCACCGGAGGAGGGTCCCACACGGCACGCAGACCTCTCCTGCCACCCGCTGCTCCCCTCAGCAGTGTACTTCGGTCCTTCTGCCTGCTCTGCTCCCCGCTCTGGCTCTGTGAATTCTCTCACCCTCCTGCGCTTCTGACTGTACCCAGTGCTTGTATAAATAAATAAATCTTTTTAAAATAAAAAAAAAACAATCCAAATTAAAAAAAATAAATAAAAATCATAAATGTGAATTTATGTAAAAATCTAGATTCTCGCCTAAACCCCTGTAGCAGCCAAGCTGTACTTACTGTTCCTTAGTACAGACTTGCTTCTCTTCTACCCAGAGCCAAGACCTTGTTGGGCATGTTTCCTTACCTTTCTCTCAGTGTTCACTCTCCATTTGCTCAGTAGTCTGACTGAGGCGGTTGTGTCTTGGGAGTCTTACTGGATTTATGCAAATAAACACATGACCATGAGAAATATGATTACTTACTGTGAAGTTGACATTCTGGGGTGGCAGAGAGAGAAAAGCAAATGTTCCAGTTCTCACAAAAAGGTGAATACAGCTCAAGGAAGTTTTCTGGGAATAAAAAGCAAAACATTGAAAACTAATATTTTGAAGTTAAAAAAATTAGTCCCTCTCCGTTTATTTAGCCCCATGTAGCCAATCTGCTATTAGCAGTTTTCATAAGTCCAATTTTTCTGTAAGCTCTGCAGTTTTCCCTATTTCTGTGACAAACCTTTATTTTCAGAGTACTGTCAGTCTCTTTTCTGTGATTTTCTGAATACAAAGTTTAGTTAGTAGCCTATGTAAATAGCAACAGACTTTAATATAATAATAATTAAAATCTGATTATAAAGCAATTGACAAGGATGTTTGCTTAATTTTTGACACATATTTTAGAGTAATCAGAATTGACCAGTGAAGTTATAACAGAACGGTAGGCTTTAAGAAGATTTATGTATTTTAGAACAGTCCTGTTAATCCACATACATGCTGAAAAAGAGTCACCATTTCTTTTTGTGACAGTATTTGCCATGAAGTTTCAGTATACCCAGACTGGCCTGATTTAACATTTCTTTTCACAAGGAAAATACTTTTATCAGGTGTCTTAAGAGTCCCTTCCAGACCTCCCATATTTTTCCTTAATCAAAGAATTAGCAATTTTAGAAGCAGGGAAGTTTCATCACAAGCTTAACAAACTTACAGATTTTTATAAAATAATTATTTTTATAAAATAATTTTTATAAAATAATACTTTTTATAAAATAATATTCCATTCCAGTGCGAAGATTTTAGGAGCAGATCTATTTCTCTGACAAGGCTCAGCCATGCTGATGGGATTAGATTTCTCTCAGTTAACCAAACCTGAGGGCAGAAGAGCACCAAGATATTCAGATTACCTAAATAGTTTTTAATTTACTGTCAAAAGTTTATAAAAGCATACTTTTTTGCCTAGAGTTTATCTTCCAGATATTTGCCACTGAGAATTTGTATCTCCCAAATTGCTGCATCTCAGGATGTCAGAGGAAGTCAAATTTACATGTAAAACTCCATATGGGGTGTAAAGGGTTGAAATCAGTTTGTCATCATGAGTCGGAGTCTGACCATGTGGCCTGACCCTCAGGTGGCGCTGACGAGACCATGCTGCCTTGTGAATTCTGTGAGGAGCTCTACCCAGAGGAACTGCTGATTGACCATCAGGTGTGTTGTGAATTACTTGGGCACTTTAAGAAGCAATACATGCGGGATGGGGCTGATGTTGCAGGCCAGAGAGGTCTTGAGCAAACTATGTTAATACAATGTCTGTGATAACAGCAGCTTTTTTTTTTTTTTTTTTTAACCACCATGTATTTATAGGTGGGTGTGAGAACTCAGCCTCGTTCCCTCTAGGAACAAGTAGTGTTCCCTCTAGCAGGCCCAGTTCCCTCTATTCCGTGGCAACTAGTGTATATCTCTGCTGACCCTTTGTGGTCTGGTTTCATCATATCTTGTTGGAGTTGTGCTGAAATCTTTGCAGTTCCCTGCAAGGGTCAGGGGTCTCTTGCACTTTACTCTGCATGCCTGGAAGGTGTATGACCTTCTGCTCTGCAGCTTCAGAACATTCAACAACACAGACTCCTTACTTGTTGTAGGCTGGTTTCAGACTGACCTCCACCACCAGATAGGAGTCCCAGGTACCCACCCACTTCCCTCATGTTGAGCTGCCGTGAGTGAACCTGAGGTTTTCAGAGCCAAGAATGTTTCCTCAGCCTTTTAAGTTTTCCTATCTGACCAGAATCCACACACTGGCTTCTAGTCACTCCTGTGTGTGAGTTGTCTGTAGTGAGTACCTCAGCCCTTCTTCAGACTTTCTCTACCCTTTGGCAACGGAAACCATCCTGTCACTAGCTGAGGACCAAGGAGCCAGGACTCCATTTAAGGAGGCATGGAGGACACACAAAGGCTTCAGTGAGGGCTCACTGGTGTGTTTTCCTCTTGAGACATGACGCTCCGATGAAGGCCAGGTCACAGGTCCTGTCTCTGTGCGCCCTCTGAGTCCTGTGCCCTCTTCTCTCGTGGCCTGTTACTCTGTGATACGGTCTCCTCGTCCCCTGTTGGTCTATACCACAACAGTAAGTTACTTGGGGACAAGTTCTGGGTTTTTCTAATTTCTAAATCTCTCCATATGTGGTATATGAAATTTTTTTTTAATGATTAAAATTTCTTTTTTTTAAAGATTTATTATTTATTATGCATACAGGGGTATAGGCCACAGGTATGGGGATAGGGGTGAGAGGATGCACCAGAGACAGAGTGGGGAGCAGAACAGGCAAATCTACTGAAATACACTGCTAAGGGGAGCAGCAGGCGAGACAGGACAGGTCTGCTGCACCACGTGGATAGCTCCCTGGCTGGGGATTGAACTTGGGCTGCAGTGGCTGCGGATAGCGTCATAGTGCTCAGACTTAATGCTTTGCACCACCAAGGAGGCCCAATGATTAAAATTTCTTGAGCCATTTAAGGCTTCTTAGAGAATGAGCCTTTCTTTGTAGGTTGCCTTATGGAGGAAACCAGGTTTCCCCTAAACACCCTGATTTGACTTCACTTGGGCTGGCATTTCCATAACACCAAGTAGTCCCTGTGCTCTGGTTGGTAGAACACACGTTCCCCCATAAGTGGAATAGTAGCAATATTTAAATGCATCTTGGTTTTGTTTTGGGGCAGCATAGGAAAATTCATTATTCGGGGATAACGAATATTTGGACATTTCTTACTTTGTAGGTGTGGGGAAAATCTTGAATCTTCTTAAGCTAGTTTAAAGAGAATAATTACTAAAATTCTTGACTCCTAGAAAATCTAAGAATATAGTTTTTTACTCAACCTCTGCTTTTTTTTTTTTGAGACAGACAAGCTGTAACCCTTCATGTGCCTTACCTTCACTCAATATGGGCAGCTCTTCCCCCAAAAGGGTAGAGGATCCTGATGTCATCTTCCAGAAGTTTGTGCAGCAAGCTGCCAGTAACCAGTTAGACTCTTTGATGGGCCTGAGCAAGTCATCCCCAGTGGAAGACAGCATCATCATCCCATGTGAATTCTGCGGTGTACAGTTGGAAGAGGAGGTGCTATTCCATCATCAGGTGAGTCCGGGTAGGTTCTTCCGGTTATGGTAGCATTTGAGTCTTGCATTCCAGGGAGCCTGGGGGCCCAGTTCTGTCTTTGCCCTTATGGTTGATCTTAGATAAGTCCTGTCCCATCCACTTGGGCACACTTGTGAAGGTGGACTTGGGCCAGACAACCCAAGTTCCGAGGATTCCAATCTGTTAGTGGAAAATACATTTTTTTGCCTGATTTTGTTTGTTATGGGCAGCTGACACTGCAGCTGTTGCTCGAACACCACACATTTCATTTCTGTAATAAAGATCTCTGCTTTTGGATGAGGTAATAAGTAACTGCTTATTGTCTCCTGGGAGAGACTGTGAGAAATACCAACCTGGCACATAGACAATGGTCAAAGTATAGACGTGTTTTTTGGGCTCCCCAGACCAGCCCCTTCCTTCATCCCTGCACACATGAGCGAGTACTTCTGTCATTGCCTTGGGTGCTGGTGGGGAATGATTGCTTCCTTCCAGGTATACTTCCTCCTAGCCCCAGACCCTCCCTCCCTGTGGTTATCATGCCCCTCTCCAGATAAAGTGTGTTCACCCCAACTGCTGTTCCTGCCATTGCTTCAACAACTTTTCTCTCTCTTAGGAATTATTCAGCCCAGAGGTACTAATTTTGGTTTTTCTTGTTAGGACCAGTGTGACCAGCGCCCACCCACAGCAAACAACCACGTGATGGAAGGAATTCCTAGACAGGAGTCTCAGACTCGAGGGACTTCACCAGAGCTGCCCAAGAGGCGTATCAGACACCAGGGTATTAGCTAGGGCTGAGCCCAGGCACAGGGCTGCTGCTGCCGCGAGCCTGCTTACACTTCTCACCTGCTGCTCTGCCATCATGGGGCCGCCTGAGTCCTGACAGGCCAAGTACACTAGGCTCTCACAGGGACTCCCTTGAGGCCAGCTGTGGTCTCCTGTCAGACCTGGTGCACATTTATAGGGTAATGGTTTTGGGGACAGCCATGAGACAGGCTCAGCAGTCAGTGGCTCTCCTGTCTGTGCACTAAATGGATTATTTGGAAATAATTTATAGACCTTATTGTGACTGCCCGGGGCCCCAATTTTTAGTTGAAATATGCTTATAGTATTCAACCTTATTAATGTTATTATTTAAGAGTCTCATAACTAGGCAAATGAACTGGTTTTGAAAACCAAGACCTACAAAATGAATGAGAAATTATTTTTCAAAGTCTTTTTGTATGCCATTGTTGAGTTAGCTAGGGGCTGTATTTTTATTTATTCATTTTTAAAAGGGGTTTACTTTAAAGATTTATTTATTTATGCATACAAGAGCTGCGGGTGTAGGCCAGAGGTGTGGGGGGTGAGAGGATTCACCAGAGACAGAGTGGGGAAAGAACAGGCAGACTGACTGAAAACACTGCTGAGGGGAGCAGCGGGGAAGACAGGAGAGGTCTGCTGCGCCATGTAGGTCACCTCCCTGGCCGGGGATGGAACTTGTGCTGCAGTGACTGCAGACAGCTTCATAGGTTGTGTCTTAACCCCTTGTGCCACCAGGGAGGGCCTAGGGGCTGTATTTTAGGACTCAGATAACAAGTGTATAGTGTGGACAAAGTGTTCTCCAACCCTGTCCTGGAGTGGGGTTCCAGCTCCCAACAGCCTGTAGGGGTGGGGCCGTTGTCTTCTACCTAGAATCTTTTTGTTCTTGCCCTGCATCTAGCACTAGTCACAAGAGCAGGCTTACCCCTAACGCTGGTGCTGTTTTCTCTTTTCAGGAGACCTGTCTTCTGGTTACATGGATGATATCAAGCAGGAAATGGCCAAAGGGTCCACCTACCCACTGCCCCTCAGCAGGCCCATTAGCAATATGACAGCTGCCTGTAACCGACTGTCAACACCCACATCAGGCTCCAAACTTGGGGGCCAGCCCAGTCCTCCTCGCATACTAAAGCTCAACAACCTGGACAGCCAGGACCTCCGGGGACGGAATCGAAATAGCCATAATGGGGCTGTGGCCGCTGGGCATGTTCCAGTGATTCACCCTGGTCGAAATCTCTACCCGGAAAACCTCATGCCCTCTTTTGCGCGGGCGCCTGCAGGAAGATACGGACCAAGGTAAAAAGCAGTGGCCTGGAAATGGAGCCCGGGAGTCATTCGGGAGAGTGTGCTGTTTCGGGGGCAGGGCTGTGTGGAAATGTCCTGTGGTCTGATTCCACAATGTTCTTTTGCTTTCTGGGGCTTTTTTGTTTGCTTGTTTCGTCTGCTGGGGGAGGGCTGCTTTTGTCCAGTTCTCACTTCTGTTCTGAGTTTCTGACTTTCGCTCAGGAGCTTGTTTCCCAACCTTCCTTTCAGTGGTAGGAGTGAAGGTGGCAGGAACTCCCGGGTCAGCCCCACAGCTGCCAACTACCACAGAAGCGCAAAGGTAACCGGGGATCCAACCCATACTGCTCAGTGAGGATGAGGGGTGGTCGGGGCTGGCCCGGTTATTGCAGAAGAGCTGAGCATCAGACTGCCCTGGTGGTGATGAGGCGGTTTCTGTAGAAACACACTTTGTAGGCTGGAGGAGCGGTGCTACTTTTCCGCTGTCATGCAGACCTTGGGTTCTACTGTTCAACAGGCTAAGACGCCCAAGCAGCAGGGCGCCGGAGATGCGGAAGAGGAGGAGGAGGAGGAAGAGTAATGGCATCTGCGGAGCCCCTGCACGCTGGTTCCTGCCTGCCCTGCACAGCAGCGCTTGCCACGGTGCCGGCCCCACCTCTCGGGCCTTTGGGCAGGGGAGATTTTATGGATTTTAACTTTTTCTAGGTTATGGCCATTTTGTGTCTTTTGAGATTGTGCTGTGGAAGTTTGGGGATTTGAGGGAGGGTTCACAGCCCGTTGAATGTTACAGCTTTAGTGACTGTCTTTCGGCAGCAGAGAATTCAAGGGAAGGCCTGTGGTCACCAGGACATAATCTTACTGTCACCACTGCTTCTTGGTGCTTTTTGTGGGCCTGGTGGAAGGAGAAAAAGGTTCTGGAAACCTAGTACCCACCAGTGAAATGATCTTTTCCCTGCAGGGGCCTAAATTTGGGAACTTTTCAGTAACCTCTCCCGCCCCTCCCGGGCTTGAATGTGGAGGAGCTCTGGTCAAGTGTTCAGGCCAGTCGCAAAATATAGTAGGAACAAGGCTTTTGGCGATGAGTTGAGCTAGAGGTGAGTGGACACGGGGCTTTGTTTTAATCTGCTTCTTTGGCATTTGGCATCACTGCCTTGTTTCTGGGGGAGCGTGGCTCCTTTGTCTTCACTGCCTTCTGCTGGAGAAGACTGGAGGCTCCCGGGCCCTGCCAGGGCCATGCTGGGCTCGGACCTGATCAGGACTGAGGTCTAAACTTCATGGTTTGCTCTGAAAACCAAGTGTCAGCCCCCTTCTCCACTTTTATTTTCCTATTATAATTATTAATAATCCTTGTAATAGAAATAAAATTTGTACTTGGAGTTCGCTGTGTCTTGTGATTCCATCTGTGAGCTCCGTGGAGCCCTCAGGGAGGCAGGGTGGGCTGGAGTTGGAGCTGTGGCGTGGGGGAGGCAGGACTGGGCTTCCTGGCACCCAGCAGATAGCAAGGGCCTTTCTTGGAGAGCACTGCACATTCGAGGTCGTGTTCTCCTTTGTTGAACTTTGAGGACACTGACTACACTGGTAGCTTTTGATGACTTGGAGTGGGGCTGAGGGTCCCTCTTACTGAATGGAGCCATGCAGAAAAGGCTCTGGAGCCTCAGTCCTGAGAGGAGTCGAATCTCAGCAGGATCAACCATTACCCCTCTGTGCCTCACAGACTGCAGAGGCTCATCTAGCACCTTAAGTCATCTTGAGCTCATTTGTTTTATCTCAACAACCTAGTTGGGGTGGAAAGGTGGGAGGAACTGCCCCATTTTAGGTGGGAAGGAGTGACTTCCGTAAGGCTGGCAGCTAATTCAGTGCAGCACGAGGACTTAAATCTGTATCTGAATTGAGAGAAATAATCTAGACCACAAAAAGTATATATACTGCAGCGCCGCTCACTTTCTTGTGTGTGAAACTTTAGTAAAATTCACCAGGATCAGTGAGCTCAGAAAGACATCCCTGTCTCAGGTGAAAAAAGCCAGGACAGAGAGAGCTGCAGTGTTTCTGGGCGTCCCTGAAGCCCCAGGACTTGGAGGGGAAGGCTCCTCACCCCATCAGCGCAGGATGCCACGCCAGGTATCTTTCGTTTTGGAGGACTGGAGCTCGACCTAAACGTAAAGCTCATTTTGCCTCCCCTGTGATGGATTAGATATCCAGTAAAACGGTAGTGGGGGCCTCCCCCGGTGGTGCAGCAGTTGAGCACTGGGCTGTGAGGCTGCCTGCAGCCTCTGCAGTGCTGGTTCCATCCCCGACCGCCGGTGAGGGTCCCACAAAAAAAACAAAACAAAACAAAAAATGGCGGTGGGCTTGTGGTTTGCCTGCCTTGCGTTGCCTTAGTTCCTACATGTATTACAAGGGGTATACTTTCTGAAAAAACTGTAAAAGTATGTAACTAAGCCAAGGCTAGCTAAAAGGATGAATAATTCTTTACCCCCTTTTTACTCCCTGAAGTCCCCGGAAGTGGACAGCTTTCAGTTTTGCAAGCTGCTGCTGCTGTATTTCCAAAGCGGCATTGCTCTTTCCAAGTGCTGTGTTTGGGTCACCTTGGAGCTAGTGTATTTTTCCTGTACTGCTGAAAAGGGAGGTGCAGGTGGTGCCCCTTCACCCGAAACCTCAGCGTGTGTGGCCCAGAGCAGCATTCTTTGTTCAGCTCTTCCTTTCAACCACAGTACGGTGAGCAGGAAATCGACGTGGATGTACCACCTACTCTCCAGACCCTATTCCAGTTTCACAAATGCCAAGTCTTGCCAATAATAACCTTTCCAGTGAAAATACCTCTTTTTCTCTGGTGCCAGATCATGTGTTGCATATCAATGACACCACCTTGCTGCCTTTCATCTGGAACAAATCCTCAGATTTCTGTTTTTAGTGACCTTGACATTTTTTAGGTGTATAGGCCAGGTATTTCGTAGAATGCCCCTTGGTTTGGGATTGCCTGGTGTCATCTTAGTAGATTTGGGCTATGCGTGGGAAAACCAGAAATGGCAAGTTCTTCTCAAGGCCATACGTCACCGCTGGTTGGGGGTCCGCACATGGAGGGGCAGTCCACATACTTTGTAAAGTGACTCGGTGGAGCGAGATTCTGAGACAAATGTCATTTTCCTCTTCAAACCTCCACTGACTGGTTCTAACATCTATGTTGATTCTTGACTGAATAATTACTATTTATTCTAGTGGTGATTTTCAAATTCTACCTTTCCTTCTATATTTTATTTGGCATTCTAAGGAATACTCGTTCTTTCTCCCCCATTCATTCATTTATATCACCATGAGATGTTGGGTTCCACTGTGGGTTTCCTCTCCCCTTTGCTAATGTCTGAAAACTCTACCCAGACATCAGCAGAGACAATGGCGGGGCCCACCCTCTGTGTTTCTCTTCTCGATATTTCTGTTCTGCATGGGCTGGCGTCCAGTGTCGTGGGAACCATACATGTGTTGGCCTTTTTGTTTAGTTGTTTCGGGTCTGGGGGGCGGTGATTAAGTCTGGTGTCCGCTAGCTTAGCTAGAATTGGAAGGCTCTTGAAAGCATTGCTTTTCCTTCCTAGGTTGTCATAAAGTCTGATGCCATTTTGATTTGCATGAATTTTTTTTTGCTTGATGCTGTTTAAGATGTCTCTCCCTGGTATTCTGAGATTTCTCCATGTTGTATGTTGGTGTAGATTCTTCTTCCATTCAAACACCTAGACACATAGTACTTATTGTCTAGAAACTCATTGTTTTGACTTTTCAGCATTTTTATTGTTTTGTTAATTTCTCTCTAGAATTCGAGTTATAGTTGGATGTTGACCCCCTTATTAAACTGATCATTTTCTTTCATATTTTTTGCCCTACTTTGTGGAAGACATATTAATTTCTAAAACCTTTGTCTTTTATTCTTACTCCCTCTTCCCCCCCTATTCAATGGATGCAGTACTTTTTCTTAGACTTTTGTGCAATAATTGTTTCTTGGACAGCTTGTCCTATTCTCTATTATTTCCTGGGAGTTATTTTTGTTTTGGTATTTTATGTCACATACTTTCCCTCAAGCCTTAGATGTTTCTTGGCCACCTGTCCATATGCTTAACCCTCTTCAAGCGTTCACTTTCCCTGCAGAGCAAGAGGCTGGCATTTTCACCAGCTGCCAGTATCTGCAGCTCTTTTCTCTGGGTTAATGCCAAGAAAGGTCTTTCAGCCCTGCTGAATAAACTCAGGGCATGGCTGGAGTCGTGAACATCTCAGGTTTTCTCTAAAATTCAACTCTGGCCTTTTGAAGGGTGCTGAGGACTTGAACTTCTGCTTCTTTCAAGAATTTCCAATCCTTGTCTTTCCTTGGACGCGGGGCCTCCAATTCCCTTTACACTGTGATTTAAGGGGGGTTGCAAAGCTTGCTTCCCATGATTGCTTCTGCTAAGTATTCTTCTAGAAATTGCTGTCTTATTTCAGAAATTATGGATTGAAATGATCATTTCTGTTGTATTCATGAACGATTGTTTACTTCTCTTTCTTGGTATGTTTTTATTTTTAAAATAAAACATCACCAAGACGTCGGAATACTCTTCATGCTCCTTCCGGCCATTAACCCCCTAGGTGTCCAGAGACACCAGTCCAGAACAGCTACTATCTTGACATTTCGCCACTATCAGTTATTTTTGTCCATCTCAAACTCCACTTTTCTGCCAGCTTCTTTTGCTTCCGACTCATCCCCACTGTTGCACGTGTTGAGTCTGTTCATTTATTCCTGTGTAGTATGTGTGGCGTGTCCACCACTGAGGGAACTAACAGGTTTCACTAGTTTTGGCAACTACTATTACTGACACGAGGCTTCTTGTGCATGTCTTTTGGTGAGCATAAGTTATGTATTTCTGCTGCATTTATGCCTCAGAGTGGAGCTGCTGGCCAGGCGGGTATGTGTCCTGTGGCACCTGTTTACCAAGTAGCTGTGGGTTCCATCCTACAGCCCAGTAGGGGAGTGGGCTCTCCAGCAGGGTACAGTCTGTCTAGCTGTTCTGGGTAGTTTATCTCATTGTGTTTTTAACTTGCGCTTTCCTGGTAACCAATGAGGATGAGTATCTTCTCAATACTGGATGCTGTAATTTTGAAAGTACTTATTTTTATTTATTTACTTTTAATTGAGGTAACATCAGGGCACCCCCATCAGGTGTTACCACCACAGTGCCTCTACTGCCAATCACCCGTACCCCACCACCACATACCATTATCCCCGCTCCCTCCCTGCCCTGCACCCCCCGCCCCCACCTTGGTGTCTCAGTTCTGCAGTCAGCTATCAAGGGTTAGTTTTTAAGCCTATCTGTATGTGAAATAGAAAGGAACTAAATCAGTGTACTTATTTTTTTAAGTGGCAGCTCTTAAAAGGGAGATGGTCTTGGCTGGAGAGCAGAGCTGAGGTCTCTTCCCAGCTTCTCAGGCTAACAGTGGTCTTCTCTTGCTGTGAGTGGTTGCTTTTGTTCCTGGTTTCTAGCACTCTGAAGCAACAGGAGAAGAAAGTTGCTTTTTCCTCATCTGAGAGGGCTCTTGCTCTTCCTATAACAAAGGCAGGTGCTAAAAGTTAGCATTTATGGTGGAATCAAGAGACTGAGAATTAAGGGTTATGGGTAAGGACGCCCATGGAACAGGAGGTGATCAAGTCAGGAGATGTGCTGGATTCTTCTGACTGGATCATGGGGCTCTGGGTAGGGGTGCGGCTGTGCAAAGAGGTCAGGGCCGAGCTACGTAAGTCTTTCTCTCTCCTTGCATTCCCATTTTGCACAGAGTTCTAAAGCCACTGCCTTTGCCCAAAGGAGCAGACGTCCAAGTGTGGTCAGATGTTTCCAGTGCAACAAAGCACCGAAGGAAATCCTCGCCCGGGACCTGAGAAGACAGAGTAGCTAGGACAAGTACAGGGTTAGGGCTAGCTCTGGCCTTGAATTTCCACCCCTTCAGCCATACTTTCTCTAGGAAAGTCAGACTCAAGGGGTCAAGTGAGGGGATTGGTAGTTCCTAAGCACAGTGGAGCAAGAACCACATCAAGCACAGACAATCCCCAGAATACTGACTCCTCACCACCTGCGGCACGTCAGCTGGTGCCTGTCTGCTCAGCGAGAGTAGATGATCACACAACTCTTAAGGTAAATCAAAATTAGATGAAGGTTATTTATTGGTGCAACTTTTTTCTTGTAGTGAGCTTCCTTTACACAGCAGTGGTGTAAATAGCATCAGATTGAATGAAAAGTTTGTTAAATGCAACCATAAATAATTATAATAAATATACATCAAGTAACTTTACAGCACACATTTTTTAGGGCCACGGTTTTGATCTATCTGGACCTCAATGTGCTCTCCGAGAGAAGCAGTCTTGTTAGCAGCAGGAATCTTACTCACAGCTGTCGTC